CAATTTTGAGATTACCCATGTTGTCAAATTGCTTTCTTTTGTTGTCTTTAATCGTGGTTGTTTAAAATTTTAAGGCATAATTAAGTGAATGTTTGGGTCTAATCTGGTTTTTTAGATTTAACTAACATTGTGTTAGGTGAATTGTCCATGACAGACGTCCTGCATCGAGAATTTCTGCTGGTTTTAAACTTTAACTATAAGGCAATTGTGGTTCCTTTGAAGGTTCTACATCAACTAATCGTTAACTTTAGCTAAAATTTGGTTGTTTTAGTTTCGGTTTATGTCAAATTTAGTGTTAAAAACATGACTTGCGGCTTGCTGGTTTGTCCATTCTGGCATGGCATGGGCGTCTATTGGGATCACTGTTTGATGAGTTATTGGCTAGTTTTGTCTATCAGCTATTAAGTGTTCTTTCCATTGGGATCATTGTACTGCATTCAATTAGTCTTTGTTGCAGTACAGGAGTATAACACATTTTGAGCTTTGGTTATTTGTAATTTCTGCTCTTTTAAATATTCAGCTGATATGAACCACCAAGGGTTGCCTATTGAAAGTGCTGTTTTTCTATTTATCCTTAGAAACGTAAATTAAAATAATGTACTGCATTCAAGTAAGTCTTTGTTGTAGTACAGGTGTATAACACATTAGAAACGTAATTTGAGCTTTGGTTATTTGTAATTTCTACTCTGTCAAATTTTCAGCTGGTTATTGAAAGTGTTGTTTTTCTGTTTATCCCACAGATATGTGTCAGGTTATAAAAATCGGTTCCAGAATTTCATTCGATACTTGCGTGAAATGGGGGATGAGGTAAATTCTTTATATCTCCGCACTTCTGTATTATATTGTGTATGGATATCCTTAATCGAACCTGCATTAGTGAGAATCAGGTTCCTTGCTAAATTGGCATTTACATGCCTATTTAAACTTCGAGGCAGTGAAATTCTTCAAATTTCTAATGTCTTTAAACGAGGTCTGACATATTTTCTTGCTGATACGTGGTACAGGTGATGGTTGTGACAACCCATGAAGGAGTTCCTGACGAATTTTATGGAGCAAAGTTGATTGGATCCCGAAGGTAAGCTATATAGTGATCTAATTTCTATTGTTTGGTGCAAAAAGGATACGAAACAAAAAGCATACAGAACATTACTTTTCCTAATATCTCTCCCATTGGTTTGCTCTTTTTTGTATTATTTCTCAGCTTTCCCTTCCCCTGGTATCAAAAGGTGCCCCTTTCCCTTGCACTTAGTCCTAGAATAATTTCGGAGGTTGCTCAGTTCAAGCCTGACATTATACATGCATCCTCGCCTGGAATTATGGTAAGTATTCAATTTGTTCTTATTCTTTTCTTTGTAGATGGTAGATTGACTCTGTATATATAGATAAACTAGAGTAATAACAAAGAATTGAAAAGATAGCTGACGCAGAACACTATTTATCAGGTTTTCGGCGCCCTCATTATCGCTAAGTTGTTATGTGTTCCTATAGTGATGTCGTATCACACTCATGTGCCAGTGTGAGTTTAATTCTTTATATTATTGAAGTTTGTTAGATACCCATTTTATATTTTGAAAATTCAAATTCATTTAATTACTTATGAAGAAAGTAATGTATGTTTATGAGTGCTTAGGACTGAGCCTTGATCTCTTTTGTTATGCAGATATATCCCGAGATACACCTTCAGTTGGCTGGTGAAACCCATGTGGTTGGTCATAAGTATGTAACCCTACCTTTATACTGGCCTCATATAGTGATATGGGTACCAGAGCATATAATTACCATTGTTGTTTTTGTTATCAGAGTTTCTGCACAGAGCTGCTGATCTCACACTAGTGCCATCAGCTGCAATCAGTAAGGATCTCCTAGAAGCTGGGGTGGCCGCAGGTGATTATAGTAAACGCATTTGATGTCTCAATCCCAGATTTACTTTTCAGAAAATTTTGACTGATTAGAAAGAAAAAAAAAACGTGTCCATTCAGCACAATTGTAAACTAATCTTTAATTGCTTATTTGCAGCTAATACAATCCGTCTTTGGAATAAGGGTGTTGATTCGGAAAGCTTCCATCCCCGCTTCCGTTCTCATGAAATGCGTATGAGACTGAGGTAGTTCCTCTATTTGTCAATTTGTGTCTCTCACTTCCCCATTCGGTTGGAAACTTTTCTTAATTTGTGTATGTTGTCGTGAACAGCAACGGTGAACCTGAGAAACCTTTAATTGTTCATGTTGGAAGACTTGGAGTGGAGAAGAGTTTGGATTTTCTGAAAAGGTAGAGTGCTTCTCTCTTACAAATAACATATTTAAAATTTAAACATGGATGTTATATCTTGTGGTAGATCTCCTCTGTAATTTCAGCCTTAATTTTATAAATATATGTACAATTTGCAGCATTTAACTTACCATTCTGATTTAACAGTGTCATGGATCGGCTTCCTGAAGCACGAATTGCTTTCATTGGAGATGGACCATACAGGTATTGCTCTGGTACATAATGAACTTTTAGAATTGTAGGGAGTAATCTGTATCTACAGAAAAGCTCGTCAAAAAATGATGCAGCAGCTTGTTATTGGAAATGCGGGAAAAAACATGTTCCTTTCTCAACATAAAAAGCACTTGTACTCATTCAATTGTATGGCTTTTACTTTTGCAGGGAGGATCTTGAAAAACTGTTTGATGGCATGCCTGCAGTATTTACAGGAATGTTAGGAGGTGAAGAGCTCTCACAGGCATATGCCAGTGGTGACGTTTTTGTGATGCCTTCAGAATCAGAGACACTTGGGCTTGTTGTATTGGAGGCTATGTCTTCAGGTATCCCTGTGGTGGGAGCGCGAGCTGGTGGAATCCCAGATATAATTCCCACAGATCAGGAGGGGAAAACTGGCTTTCTCTACGATTATAATGACCTTGATGACTGCTTAAGTAAGTTACAGCCCCTGCTGGAGAACAAGGACTTAAGGGAAACAATTGGCAAGGCAGCACGTGAGGAAATGGAGAAGTACGATTGGAAAGCAGCCACGCGAGTAATTCGAAATGAGCAATACAATGCTGCCATTTGGTTCTGGAGGAAGAAGAGAGCGCAATTTCTTAGACCTCTGCAGTGGTTCATGAAGCGCATTTTTCCTCCAACCACACCAGCAATCAAGTACAGGTGATTTCGGGTCCTACTGCTTTCAGCACAGGTAACTAGTTATTTGTAAACTTGCTTTGCGCTTCAAAAGAAGTTATTGTTAGATTGTACTTGGGATAATTGTAGATTATTTGTTTGTAAATATTGGACGGTATACAATGTCAGTTACGTCGTTCTCTTGCTCATTTTTATGTTCACGAAACTGCATTCGTACCCATCATTGCCACATCTTACCATGAAATTTGTAATGAGAGATCTGTATGCATGTTTTGTGCATCTAATGTTGTGCAAGTTCCTTGTGCGTTCTTTTAACGCGGTAACTTTAGTCAGATGTCAGCTGAGAGTAAGTTCAAGTGTAGTAGGGTCACTGATTCCATGCATTTCACATGCACTTCATCTCCTTCACTCATAGATGAGGTACCTGAGGACCAGTTGCAGTAAGTATAGAGAAGGAATAGCTCTGGTGTTCATTAACTAGTTCACATGCATACGAATGAGTGGGTCTAACTGAAAGTGGTAACATATTTTCATGTACATGGTGGTCTATAGGCAGCAGTCCATGGACCACAACATCGAAAATCATCCCGGTGCATCCCCTGGATCAGAGAGAGACTTCCCTGCCCTGGTTTCCCTATTTCCAGTCTCTATCCTCAATATCACTCATAACGCAAGTAGAGATGGAGGAAGAGGATGGGGATAAGAAAACCATGGCCAGAAAGTATTTTTCTCTATGCCAAGCTTGTCACATATAGCATATGGGATTGGATTTAGACGTCTGTTACGGTCTTGTTGAATAAAGTAAAAGTTGCTCACTGGAGACTTGACGCAATAATGTAAACTCCATGCCTATCATAATAAAACCTCGCATCTACTTTGTGGTGCATTGTATCAGAACATGGACTTTTTTAGACAAACCGAACTGCAATCAGCTCAATTTTCTGGTTAGAGTCAAACCATTAATCTTTTCTAATTCTAAGCCATTTCCCCTCACCCCGTCCTCACAACTCGAGCTAATTAGGTTAATTTAGGTCATGTGTACAATGTAAAACTAAGAGAAGGGTTTGGACGGGAAGTTTGATACATGTCACAACAAATTTCGTGGTTAATTGGCGAAACACCAAACCAATACTTTTCATATGTGTAAAAAGAGAGGAGAATCTATCTAACGTGCACTTTGGATGGTTGGGACCAACTTGCGGAACACATGCACAGGCACCTGCAGCACTGCTTCTCAATGGTGGTGGTGCCTGCTGCCTGCTGCCCCATGAAAAGAAGTTTTGGCAGTTGGGGTAAATGGTCGAGGTCCATATCTCTCTCAGACGCGGTTCGGTTTGGGGACCATTTGGGATACTATTGTCTCCTTTATCGATGAAAAGAACTTGCATGGAACGAGTTCATCGTCACATGATATTCGAATTCAATAATACATTGTTATGTGTAAGCTTATCTCCAAATATCATTGCATTATTGATTCTGAATGTCACATGAAGTTGTTTTCCTTTACAGAGAAACATGATAGGCTCTGAATTTCTCTGTTTTGACTTGTATTTACATAGGAAGGAAAACGAGTAAATGGTAAGACCATCATTTTAAAAGGCTTTATGTTCATACTGTTTATCTCAATCTAAAGCCAATTTTCTATCAGTTAAGAATTCAGATTGGTTATTTTCCGTATTGGATGGTTAAAACTTCAATAAATCAGTCGAAATAGATATTTGACTAATAAAAAATAAATAAAGAAATGAGTTGCCCGTTAGAATTTTGCTTTCGCAAATACGTAGTTTCATTTTTTTTATCAAATAATTGTTATATATATATATATATATATTTCAGATTGTGATTTGGATATAAGGACATGTGACTCCTACTAAAAATTCACAAAAATAGAGGCTTTTAATGGATTATTCACATTAAGAAATTCGGCAATTTCATCACGTGCATAATTCTTTAAGCAGATAAAATATAATATAATAATTCCCCTACAATAGTACAAACATCCACACCCACACACTACACTAGTAGCCAAAACGTCGCGGTTTTAACGTCTCATCGCAACCGTCCAAATCAATCTCACCACAGCGATTGACTAAGTTTTGACCAATTCCTAAATCCCACGAGCCAGTCACCATAACGGATTAACCGTAATTTCAAACATTAACGGCGGGTCCCACCCACAGTGGGGGCGTGATCGCGTACGACCCGGCTCAGTCTATCACCGATACATATTGCATGAACTCCCCATCGGACAGCAGCCCAGCCATCGTCTCAGGAGCCAGAACCACCTCCAAATCAACGCTGCCGCTGCCTTCCCTCCCTGGAAAAGCCGATATCTTGCCGTCGAATTTGTTGGCCGCGCCGCTCCGCACGGCGAGGGGTTTGCCCCACCCGAAATCGTTGTTGTACATCGGGAATCGCGGCGAGCTGCCCATCGTGATCATCGCGCCGTCGAAGTTCCCCAGCGGGAACAGCCTCGGCGCGCTCTCCCAATCCTCTACGCCGCGGCGCACTGTGGCGTCGTCGTGCGCAACCACGTTGTTGTGGAGGAGATTGGCACCCCAGCGCAGATCCCGGGACAGCAGCTCGCCGACGGTAGCGACGGTCGGGATGCTCTGTATCGCGTTACCAAAGTAGTGCGAGTCCATCTTCGGCTGGAGGCGGTGGCGGCAGTTCACAGCCATACGGAACGTCGTCGTTTTGGAATCAGGTAGGTTCCTGGCACGAGTCACGGAACGCCAGAGCTGCGCGCTCAAAGATTGAAACGACGAAATCTCCGCCGTTTTCGCGCCGTTATATCGGTGTACGGCATTCCAGCTGTCATTTAACTGCTTCCCGAGAATCTCGGCCGTTTCAGAAAGGCCATTATCGTTACAGTTACCGTTATCATCACTGTTACAGTTATGCGTTGTTTTGAACAGATGAGTGTTATTTGCTCTGTTTTTCAGTTTGAGAATTGATTCTCTGGTGAAATGGAAGATTCTCTCACGCAGCGGATCGTTGCCGGAGAAGGTGACCTTAGGGCCTCCTTCTGGGAAATGGAGCACCGCCGGCGAGTTGAAGACGGTGTCGCGGGAAAAATCAGGAGATTTTGATATTTTCTTGGCGCCTCGGTTAATCTCGGCGAAGGTGTTGAAGAAGTGCCAGAAGGATGTGCCGTCAAGGACGGAGTGGTTGACCGTACATCCGATGAACACGGCGTCGGCGAGCTCGGTGACCTGTACGGCGGCTAGAGGTCTGAAGTGGCCGGAGTAGCTCAAAGTCCTTTGATACGCGAAGAACTCCCTGAAGCAATGTGGAACGTCGGCGTTGGGCTGCAGGACGGCGTCCAGAGAGAGGTTCTTGGCTTTGGCGTGCACGAAACCGACGCCGGTGTCGTTACAGACAATGTGGACGTGACCGTCTGCGTCCGTCTCGAATCGACCGGCCAGGGCTGGGAAGTGGGAGAGGGCGAGGGAGAGGGAGTGTTTGAGGGAGGGGAGGAGGTCGACGACGGAGAAGGGCGGGGAGTCGAGGAGGACGCCCTTCTGGATGTAGTGGCAGGAGAGCATGGGAAGATCAGAGACGGAGAGCTTGAGAGACTTGACGGCGGATTTCTGGTCGGGGTAAATTGTGCATTGCGAAATTACGGAAACGGAGGAATCGGAGCAAGGCATGGTGAAATGGTGCGTTTCGAGGAGGTGTAGATTGAGAAATCCTGGGGGTATGAAATTGTGAGTTGTGGTGGGAGTTGGGAGCGGGGTATATATAGTGGTGGGGAGGGGGTCGGGTTGGATGCATGAACTTGCGTCCTACTTTCTTGTTAGGATGGGGCCCAGGAAATGATATGATGACGTGTTAACAAATACCGTCACATATATCACTTTACAAGTGAATTCCTTATATGATGACGTGTTAAGAAATACCATCACATATATCACCTTACAAGTGAAGAATTAGATTTTAACAAAAAAAACTCCCAGTACTTTTTATCATAACAAAAAATTGTAATTTTTATATTAAAAAATTATTTACCTTACTTTTTATTTTATCTTTATTATTAAAACTCAAAATTTTCAAACTATTTTCACTAGTTTCTTGTAAAAAAACATTTAAAAAAAATATATATATTTCACTAGTTATGTAATAACATATATCGTACGAAAAGGTCAAATATATAGTGAAGGTAAAAATTAAAAAGTAAGACAGGTAAGTACCTAATAAAAAAATAAAAAATAAAAAAACCATATAAACCTATTTGCCAAACGAAAAGGTCAAAAAAATGAAACAAACTTTTTTGGAATAAGACTAACCAAAACATCAAAAAATAATTTATTTATATTTTTACTTTTGTTAGTTAAGCCAATTGACCATTACATTATACCTACCATTTATTCAAGTTCGAATTCCACTTATTGTAGATTATATCATTATAGTAATTTAAAAGGGATGTTTGTCCGCTTTGATCCCTGACCACGTCCTCACGGTTTTGTTTCTGAAAACTCACATGAGAACTTCCCAGTGAGTCACCAATCCTGGAATTGCTCTCGTTGCGATCTCGCTTAACTTCAAAGTTCCTACGAAACCCGAAGTCAATGAGCTCTCAAAAGGCCTCGTGCTAGGTAGAGATGAGAATATACATATAAGATTTACATAATCCACTCCCCTAAGCGATGTGGGATGTTACATGCAAAGTATTGACTTTGCACTCAATTTACCGAAACAAAGTTATTTTTTTGTCCTTGTACAATTGTCATGTTTTGTTCGCGTGTATGATGGATGAAAAATTTCAAAATCTAACGTGGAGGTGGGGGTAGGGGGGGGGATTGGTTATATATAAAAGTTTAAGGGGATAATCGGCTAAAATTAGAATTTAAAAAAAAAATTGCAACCATATACAAATTCGAGAAGCAAATCGACAAATAAGTCAATTTAAATATCATCCTATATATTTTAGCATGCTTATATAAGATCCCCAATTATTTAGTCATGCTTAGTGATGCTTCTATCAGATCACCTATTATTTAGTCATGACTCATAAGCTGCATGGATTTTCAATTGATATATTTTCACAATATAGGTAATGCAGAGAGAGACATGTGCCAAGACCCTTGGGAATTACGAATATTCACGCCTAGATCGAAAAAATGGGACATGGATCCTCCTCTCCGAATCCAATTGTCCTAATCCTAGGGATCTATCAATCCAAATCATTAAAATTTGATCCAACGACTACAAACAGGAGTCAACTTTAAAAGTTATAATAACTTTAACTGTTTCATCAAATTTCAACTGCTTGAATTGATGAATCCCTAGAATTAGAATAATTGTATTGATAGACGCATATTTATGCGACTTAGTTAACTAGTTTTCTTGCATTTACGTTATTAGTTATTAGTTATTTTAGTACTTTAAGCCATTTTCGTGTGTTGTAGGTCCAAAGGGCTAAGGTAGCAAGAAAGTGCATTTTGGTGCATTTTGGAGCAGTTTTGAGCTTGTAATGGATTACATATGATATGAGCAAGATGGATGGACGAATTTGAAGACAAAAGAGGCTAAGAACATGCTAAAAATCTGGTGAAACAAATACAAGTTGCAAGAAGGGATAAATTTCTAAAAGGATTGGCCAAAACTTCACTCAAAACCATGCATACCCCATAAAATTCATCAATGCCGTGGCCTTCCCTTTGTTTTACTTCCACCAGATTTTTTTAGTGATGATGCAATGCCTATCTCACTATGACATTTGAGTGGATGATGTAATGCTTAACTCACCATGACATTTGAGTGGATGATGCAATGCTTAACTCACCATGACATGTGAGTGGATGACTCAAAACCTACCCTCACCAACAATTCTCCACCTTGCCATGCCTTACCTACTTCATTCCACCAGATTTTTTGCATTAAACATGTCCATCCTCTTCCTATAAATACCATGGCAGCAACCTCATTCAAATCATCCAGAAATTAACCATTCTCCAAGCCTTTCCTTGCCTCTCCTACATATCTAAACCCCTTCCCATCCATTCCTCCAAATAACCAACCCTTCAACATCATTCCAACCTTGTTGTTGCGGCAAAGAGAAGGAGAAAAGTCCTTAGACGCACTTGCTATCCAACATCGTTGGAACGTTTAGGTGCTTTCTTTCCTTTGTTTTTCAATGTTTAAATTTGTTTATCTTTGTTTTGTAATAATGAGGAACTAAACCCCCCTTGGCTAGGGGGGGATTCGAAACCATGTTAATGCTTGCAATATGATTTGATTACTTTTAATTGCGTTTCATAAGTTATGAATTCGATTTACTTATCTATTTGATTGATAACATGTTTATGTATGTTGATTAGGGATGCATACTTAGTTTGCATGCATAAATATGATGCTAGAGTATAAGGGAATTTCACCTAATCGTTATGAACTTATATTCATGAGTAGTAAAAGTCGCTAGTCACGATTGTGTTAAGTAAATCCTTGGCATAAGTTTCATGCAAATCATAGTAACGAGTGCCTCGTCAATGCTTATGTTTTTCATAGAACTTAATGATTCTTGCTTGTATCTCTATTATGCAATTCATGTAGGGAACTTGTAGGGAATGTTTTGGGTTGTCGTATGCAATCATCCAACCCAATAACTTGTGGAAAAACTGAGGGTTAATTAGTGCAATTCACGGTTAATTTGGGGCGTTGAGAATTAATAAGTTATTGAAATGCAATTGGAAATCATTTTGTATGCAAGCAAGACATGTGTGGAGAAGAACCCCTTAGCTAGCCTTCCATTATCCATTCAACCCAAATTTGTTTAAAATCTATTTAAGTTTTTAGTTTATTTGTTTTTACTTTCAACTTCACCAAACTCAAATCCCCTTTTTACTTTCTTGTTTTAAATCTTTTGTTTACATTTTTAACTTTGTTTTTATGTTTTTAAATTAGTTTTCAAGTGATTTAGCAATCCCTCCTAATCCCCGGTTTAGAACGATCCCTACTTACATCTATACTACAATTGTCAAAAAGAGGGTTAAATTTGTGTGCTTATATATTTCGCATCATGTATCCGGAAAGGATCCATATCCGAAAAAATGAATATAATGGTGTGTGCATTTTTATGCAGATCTTCTGCCTCATTGAATTCCGAGCAAGAAAATTTATGTTTGTTTTAATTTTAAGAGTCATGTTTGGGTCAGTCCTACCTTTAATCCTTCGTATTTGTGGGTAAAGTTGGGCAAGAGTTTGATATTTTTTTTTGGTTTGCTTTAGGATCTAATTGGTAAGTTCAAATCGACTATGTTGGTAATGATTTGGACAAACTGTTGCCAATGTGATCGTTTTAGGTTCGTTTGGCATATAAGATTCTCGATTTGGGTTTGTTTAGGTTTTCATTTGTACTTTTCCTTGCGTAAAAGAGTTTCGAGACCACATTTTAAAACCATCTTACACTAATTCTCACAGTTGGACTACCTTTACTGACTTTTGAGTAATGCTAAGGAGATCATACTTTTCAACTACATTGGTGTGCCATGTCATGTGGCAGGCGTTGGATACACCCTAACATACAATAAGATAAATTCATTAATTGACGTGGTATAACGTCACTTGCCACGTCAGATGGTACACACAAATGTGGTTTAAATATGTGATCTTCTTAACATTTTCTTTGACTTTTTGTTGCTTTGGGGTTTATTTCACAATCATTTTCTAATTACTTTCTTATTGTTTTAAAATATTAGTAGGTCAAAACTCTTGATTCTTAACCAAGGCCTTCGATTCAGGTCAGAACATTGATATAAAATACACAATAAAGAATCAATAATTTTGTCATTCCAAATCGAAATGTAGGTTTTGGATTTATTTCCGGCACAATTGCCCACACCTACGTATAAACCCACGTTGCATGTCGCCCATGTCGCTAGCAAACATCCTTGTAGTAGTTAATAGTCGCAATCTAAAATCTCTTCAGAAACTTGTCGAGTGGATGAAACGAGGAGATATATATATCGTTCCATCTTGATTCTAAAAGCATAACAGACACACTGATAAGAACTATATTTCTGCTAGGTATATAGTTTAAACACACCAGATTGATGTTCATGATTATGTACCTCGAATTGTTGAACAAGTAGCAAATCGAGAGTATTAATTTCCGATGATAAATGTCATAGTCGGGCAAGTTATGTTGGCTCTCTTTATTCGGCAGCCACTCTTGTTACGCATAAATCCACGTTGTAGAGCAAAAAATAATTTGAAAGATTCTGGAGTTGACATGTGGAATTTCATCTACTACTGATGAGAATGTCTTTATTAAATTGGTGAGACTCACATTTATTCCACACGCAGTTCAACCTTCTTGAAGACTTGAGTTGTTGACTACAACTTCCCGAAACTCTGCTTTCCTAATTGAAGACCAACTCAATAAAGCAAGGAATCACAATCATATCCAATCAAGAAAACTACGACATAATCCATGATATTATTTAATTAATAATACCTTCGGGATAATTTTTCCTCCATTCTAGGGGATGCATGACACACCTTGGCCAACTGGATGACGACAAATGGCATGAAAAACCTACACATGTGGCCGACCCTATGTGTGTCTATTGCGATTAAAAAAAAAACCAGTAAGCTTTTGCGTTTGATCAAAGGTCTTCTCGTGGGGTACATGGTTTTGGACTTTGATCAAATGTAATTAATTGTTTTGTAGGTACAAATTCGTCAAGACTTAAAACGGCGGATTTTTTTTGCCACCACGATTTT